CAGGGGGGGGGTGCGAAGGAGCCTTGAAGGCCCAGCCTCTCGCAGAAACCCTGCTAGAGGGTACAAAAAGCTGCAGGAGGAACTGGAACTAGCTGACTCATAAAATGGGGGATAGCTGCTCATGAAGTGAGGGTGGAGGGGGTGGGGGAGGTAGGAAGGGAATGTCTCAATACCTAGCTTGCTACTACAAATGCATCTAGATCCTTCACTATAGCTAGTACATGGTCACAAGAGTTACTTGGCTAGGAAGACATAGTGATTCTTAGACTAAGCTGTCCTTTCTTTCTTCAAACACTAGGAAACTAAAGAAGATCCAAGTTGGGGAACTCCTTTAAACTTAATACTTGTTGTCCCAACCCACCTGTAGCAGGGCAATCCTGGATGAAGTCTGTGATGGACCACAGGACTCCCTACTGCTACCTGAATTTTAATGTTGATCACTCCAATAAATGCTAACTTTGTTATTGAACCACTTGTTTCTTGATTCCTTACTTATCATTATTATTACTTGGGGGAGTAGAAAGAGCTGGGGCTGAGAGGTGGCTCTCTGGAATGAGATGGGGGGGGGGGGGGGGGGGGGGGGGGGGTCACCAGGTGGGCGTGTCGGGGGAGGGGGGGGGGGGGGGGGGGGGATGCTATGGAGCTGCCAATGCTGTTATCAATCTGAGATCCTAGGATCTCAAAGTGCAGCATGTCTGTTAACCTGCTGGTAGTTGTCTAACATCTACAGGCTTAGTTATATATCTCTAACCCATCTCTGTGGGGAGCCAGCCAGCAGATGAAATGCCACAGGGGGGAAGCAGGCAGTAGGTCACATACTTCCACAGCTGAGGAAGGACCTGCCACCCTGTCTGGACTAGAAGTTGGTGCCCAATTCAACTAGCACAAACTGCACAGTCCATCTCAGGATTTGACTTGAGTGCAAAGAAAGGTTTGTCCTACTTGCTTCCTGCTTTCCTCCCCAAAACCACTTCAATGCTACATTCATGACCTGTTTCCTAGCAGCAGTGGGGTTGAATAGCTAGTTGCTTTTCTTCCCCAGCCACTTCCACAAAGCAGCCTCAGTTGTACCTGTAGACCCCTTCAAGATCTATGGGCTTGAACAAGGCAAGCCGATTACTGAACACACAAACAAGTTCATCAAACCAAATGTTGGGTGGCCATTCTCCCAAAGGCACAGAGCAGGTAGGACAAAGGCAATAAAAGGTGCTTGCTGAGCTCAGCTTGCCTGGAGCTGAGCAGGACTATTTCCCAAGAAACTTTCTCTCTTTCCAGTGTGTCTCCTGGGACTCTAACCTGGGCCACTGTTTTACTTTTTCTACCTGATTCTTTTACCACTAACTCAGTAATAAGTAACCAACTGAAAACCTATGGAAATATGTGCCACAATGTTAAGTCTAATATCAAGATGTCCCATTTTGTCCCCTTTAAGACAAAAAAGTGAAAGGTGCATAAGGCAATGGGAACGGTTTTCATAAGTCTGTGTTTGTTCTGAGGTTATCGATGCCATTTTTGACAAAATAAACTCCTGCCTCTCCAGGAATTGCACTGCTGAATGACACACCACTCACTAAAACACTGCAATGGAGTCTGGATATAATTGACCCACTTGCCTCAGACAGGTACTTAGCAGCAAATCTCTGAGTAGAGAGAGCTTCTCAGAAAATCTCTCACCTTGCCAAAATCACACAGATGGTTCCTCCACTGTTTGCACTTGTAGGAATTCCTTGCATTTCCCCAAGCTGAAAGCCATCCTGCAGGAAAGGATTTAATGGTTCCCAAGCACTCCTCTGCCAGCAATGATACAGGATGATGTCTCCTATTTTCCAAGCTACTGTTGACTTCTGTCCCTTAGTACAAGCAGCTTGGTCAGCTCCCTCTCCTATCCCCTGGCTTTTACAGGCTCTTCTCCGGAACAAAGTGTAGACGCAGCGGGAATGGAGGAGGATGTGTGTTCCCACCCTGTATTGAAACAGCTCTTTGCAAAGCACCAAGCGGTGCTTTCCAAGCCTGTTGCACTCAAAGGGAAATGAAAAATGTGAATCTCTGCATGTTGTCCCAACTACACCCTGAATATCCACGTTACCAACTAGCTCCAATTCTCACCATTTTCAGAAGATTACACTAGTCATCTGCCACCACTATACTGCAACTGCTCTGATGGATATGTGAAAGCATTGGAGGAAGTGTCACAAGGAACCTGAAAATGTCACAGTGATATCCTGATAAGGTGTACAGCTGCCAAATCAGCATCTGCAGATATGGGGAACCTAGCTGTCCTTATACAGGGCAGACCTAGACATCAGGGACTAGGCAGAGAAGAATGTAGGGTCCTCTGACCTAATCACCCCAACCCTCCCTGATTTCACATTGCCATGGCAAAGGGTAGAGTAGGGAGGCAGCATGCAGGAGTTAGGCTATAATTTCAGAACAAAACCCCCTAATTACAGGCCAATTACCCAACAGCCTGCTATACATATTAGTTAGCAATGACTGGTTTGTTGGAACAAATAGCATACTATGTTGCAATTCTACTTTTCTTTGACTAGTTAAAGCAAAATTAAAAATAACCAGATACACAAAAAGCTCAAATGTAAGAAGTATGACCACCTGGTATAGCTTAAATCCCTGAAACAGAATATTTTCCCATGCAGTATAAGGGGAACAGAAATTAAATAGAACAAATAGGCAGGGGAAGCAATTCTGTGTTACCATCCCTCCCTATTTAAGACCAGCCTGCTGCCTTTTGAGGCAAGTGTTGAGTTCAGTAGAGGCTTTGGGTTGTAAAGCTCTGAGGTGGTTTGAAAGCAGTTTTTCTATAGACTGGTAAGGCTGTTCTTATGCATATGCATATATCTCTTTCTGTGTTTGCTTCCCCTGATCCCCATTATTTGTTGCTGAGATGATTTCTACCCAGGGATACCAGTGATCCAACAACTCTGAGCTATCTTCTGCAGTAGGCTATCTCAAGCAAAACTTTCTCTCTTGCTTGGAGCTTAATGTATTTTATTGCTTTCCCATATTTCAGAAAAGAAAGTATTGCTCTACTTTATTGCACTAACTCACTAAAACGTTTTAAGTAAAATGTCTAATCAAATATGTTACTGTATTCTTGAACTGTTGTCCCTTTTCCTCTGTACCTCTCTGCTTAATCTCCACTATTCTTTGAACAGTCTCTGCTGTCTGAATACAATGTTCTCTATCTAATATGTAGCCTTGGAAATGAAAGGCACTGGAACACTATTTACCATGGTCTTGGAGTAGCTCCATAGTGTAAATTAAACATCGCTGTGAAGTGTTAAGACTTCCTTTCGGGCAGCAAAGAATTGAACTGAGTAATGGATTTAGTGAGGGCTTTTAGTGGTATTGAGAGACTCTAACCTTTTCATTTGACACTTTTGATGAAGACTGTTTATTTGCATTGAAAGTGTTTGCTGCTGCTTTTGAAACATCCCAAACTCCTGTTAAGCTGGATGTTTTAGTTTTAAGCTAGTTTTTGGAAAAGCCAATGTCAAATCAGCAGCCTTCAGTTGGGACTTTTCTCCCTTTTGTTGTTGCTTTTGGACAAATAAAATGAGTGGTGGGGAATGGGATGAAGGGCAGGATGACCAAAGAGGCTTGTAATCATTCTTGGTGTACAAACACCAGAACATGTCACTGTTGCAAACTAGCTCACTGATTTACTTGTTTTTTGAAGGTTCTTGGTGTACAAACACCAGAGCATGTCACTGTTGCTAACTAGCTCACTGATTTACTTGTTTTTTGAAGACTGCTTTCACTTGGGACTTCAGGTGTGCCCCCAAATACAAAGCTGAAGGAGGCTGCAGCTGTATCCTACCAGCTCAGCTAAGCTCCTAACCACCTCCATGTGTCCCGATATGCTTTGGCTCAAGCTTTAGGCCCCTTTCCTGCAGGGTGGAGGTGTGTACTAACAAACTGCCTAATACCTTGCAGGTGGGATGCTGGGAGCTGGTTACTAAGATACTCCTGACGGAGCAGGATTTGGGCTTCTTGCCCAACTACCACTTCCTCAGAAGGAGAAGGGGAAAAAAAAAAAAAAAAGACTGTCTGCTACTTGCATTATAGGAGAGGTTTTCTGTCTGAGTGGCTGCTATAAACCCCAGGCATGGGGAATGAAGTTAGCCCAAAGAGGCTGTGTGCATCAAGTGAGAAATGTAAGGCTCAAGAGGCTGTAGAGGGAAGTGGGGAGATGCTTCCTACTGCACAAAGCTCGCAAGAGGCTACAGCATGGATTGACCAGAGCTGGTCTTTCCCAGAAGAGGCTTTGCAAGACCCTGGCAGTGCTCTTACACCAGTAACACAGGAGGCATTTGCACAGACCATGGGGAAGACTGCAGTGGATCAATCCCCTCATCGTCTGAGCCTCGGGCAAAGGCTACAAGTTTGGATTGGCAAGGTACCACGAGCCAGGGATGTGGTCCAGACTTCAGGTGAGGTGCTACAGGGAACAGAAGCCAAGCCTCCTACAAAGGTAATGCAGGACAGTAAGCCTGCTCCCAAAAACGTGAGACAGCCTAGAGAAGCCCCAACTGCTGTAGAGAGTACAGAAGATATGGCCAAGCCTTGGCTTGTTGCATACCCTGATTCTGAGACTCCAGCTACTCCACTAGCTAAACAAGGGGTACATGCTAGTGCACGGGCCACAGATAAGGCTGAAACGGATCTGACGGTTTCAGAGGTGACTGAGATTTGGCAGTTGAGGTCTTCCCAGGCACCTTCTACCCCCAGCAAAGAACTGACTGAAAATGCTGAGCATCGTTCACAACCTGCAAACCCAGAAACTGAGACCCTAGTGGAAAGCCAGACCAGGCTGGAAGGCTACCTTGTTGTGTGCAAGAGACTGTACAACCTACTGCTGACACCAAGCCCACTCTGCAGATGGCTCAAGAAAGCAAAGTCCAGCCCAAAGCAGTGACTACCCTTGTCCTAACCCCCTGACCGTACAACTTGCTCGTCTTATGAGATGGCAATACGGATCCTCCACTGATCATGCAAGAGACTCCATGCTACTCAGCTGAAGCCCAGCCTGTTCCATGTACATGGCAGGAGGCTGGTACCCAAACAACTGAAGTTCACAAAGTTAAATTAGGAAAGCCCAGTCTCCTGCAGAGATGCACCTGACAGCACAAAAAGAAATAAAGCTACTCCTGACTAGCAACTGATTAGAGGATTTCCTTCCAGATCACGCAGCTCTGCCACTACCCATTAAAGAAACAGGGCTGAGACTAGGAGACTGAGACTTTTTTTACAAATCACTGAAGAAACTGACTCGACACAAGAAGCTGCAGCCCAGCCTGAAACAAGAACTGTACACGCAACCCTACAGGATGCTGACTCCCAGTCTGCTCTACGGATCCTAGAAAGCATGAGTGCACTTCAGACAGTGGCCTGGTTCTCTTGGGAGAAATCACTGAAATCTGACTCTGAACTAAGCCTGTAAAACCTGTACCCCACTGTGAAGATGACATGAGACTGAAGCCACATGCACTGTCACCATAATTGGGTTCTTCCTCTAGTGACACAGGATCACAATCGCTTTGAGTTCCAGCTACAGTCTCTGGCCTCTCTACCAGCATGTAGAAGCAGAAGAGAAGACTCAAGTCTAGGCAGCCCTTGGCCCATGGACCTGAGGGTAAAATTGCTCCAATGGAAGACCCCAGATCTAGCAGTGCCTGCTTCAGAACAGTGGCAGATTCTGCTTCTGTGGCTGTAACTCTGCCAGCTCCAGAGAAGGGACTTGTTCCAGCTGGTGGCTCTGACATAACTGGAGCAAGGCCAGAGTGCGATGTACCGGCTGAGTGCTACTGCTGGCCTGCAGCATGTGGTGCTTTGCTATCTATTTCCTGGCCTTCAATTGTAGCCATGCTCAAAATGTTGGCTGTTCCATGAGATGAGGGTGCAATGCAGGTAGCATGACTTCTGGGCAGAGGCTTGGTTGGGGGTGGGGAGAAAGGGGCATCTCTATTCAATTGCAGGCTCAGGCATGTCCAAACTTAGTGCATTCTCTCTTGTACTAGTATGGCCTGGCCATTACTTTATCTTTAAAAGCGCTCTTTTCTCCCAACAGTAATGATCTGAGGGCTTTCCAAGACAAGGAAGTATGCACCAAGTGTGTGAGCGGGAGCTAGTGTGTACAGCTTCACTACACAAATTAATCTGATAACTTTGCATGTTAACACTTCTTCATAAGCCCTTCTACAGGGCTGCCTATTCCACTTCAGTGCACACTCAGCACTTCTAAATTCCCGGAGTGCTCTGCCCTTCACAACACTCCCTGCCTCCTAGGCTCTTTGACTTGCCCGGGTCACCAACCCTGCCTGGCAAAAACAAATCGGATGAGTCTATGACATACCTTTTCTTTAAAAGCTAAGAGACTGCCTGCATATTCAGTGTTTGTCTTAACTCCATGCTGACGCAGTCCTAGAAGGTGAAGCTGGTGGTGGATGCTGGTGCTGGCAGACCTGGCAATCTTTGTTGTTACTAGAGTTGTTTAATTTTTAATGTTTCATAATTCAATAAATGCTTGTCTACTATTCCTGAATTTCTAGTTCCTTGCTTTTTCTAAAAGCGTGGGGGGGGGGGGGGGGGAGGGACGAGATGCTCTTGAGCATAGCTGCAATGCAGCTGCTTAACTACCCAATCCTAGACAATTGATTTGCAAAGCACCATCCTAGTGCCAAGTTGTGCCACAAAGGGGTCAATTAGTTTTATTGGGAGTATATAGGGAAAACTAATTGTTAGCAAAAGATGGCCCAGAATTGGAGTACAATAGGCATATAGACCACTGGAGGCAACAAGGCTAGAAATATACTGCTCAACCTGGGGGATACTAGGCCTAGGAGCTGACCAGTTGCTGAGCTGCTCTTGGGGGTGGGGGGGTGGGGAGAGTCTGTATGCTTCACTACAGAAGCACTTCCTCTGTTTTAAATTATCCTTTTAAGTAGAAATTGGGGTCCTGATGCAGCTGGTGCAGTGCTGCTGTCAAGCTGTACAGTCCATCTTGGGATTTTGAGCTGATCTAAAAAACAGATGTTCCTATATCCCTCAGTCTTTCTTC